ATGATGGAAATGCTGAAGGTAGCAGATTTCGGTAGTGTTACAAGAGCCCTCTCCAGAGAACTGGAGGACAGAGTTTTGTGCCTAATACTCCATACTTGGTTCAACTATCAGTTCCTTCTTGAAGCAATTGTCTCCACTTGAGGTAATGTGGGATCTCAGGAGATGATATCTAAAGTTGAAATTTCAAAAATATATTTAAGGCTGTTAAGGTAGCAAAAGGGGAATTAAAATAAATTAAGGAAAGGGGCTAGAAGGAGTGGGTGGTGGTATGAATTCTATTTAGATGGTAGCTAATAATGTCCCATAATGACATTTAGTATACACCCTAAAGAGCTAACTGTCAGAAACTAAATTGCCGTGGGCCTCTGGGATTGCTTTTTTAATCATTCTTCATTATTCTTTAACCTTGTACGTGAATAACTTTAGAAAATTTTACTAATAGTTTGCTGAAGGTCAAAACTAATTACATCAAATTTCTTTTTAATATTTTCTTGTTTATTATTTACCTAAAGTGGGACACAGATTATACTTGTTACGGAGGGGAAGATCGATCAAAGAATTACGATACAAATGGCCAAGTGGAATAGGATGTATGTCTCAGAAGGTTAAAATGCAGAAGTCCACATTTCTTGTGTAGTAATGTGATTACTAATGATAATATTTTTTATTCCCATCATTCCTGATGAGTGTTTGTGTCTGGATTTTTTTAGCTTTGTAAAATTTCATTTATGTTTCAAATAAGAAGTAGAATTTAGCATCCCTATTTTCTAAAGGACCATCTTGATTTAAAATTAGACAATCAAGGAGAATACTTTAACAGTAATTTTTTTAAACAGCAGTAGGACCTCTGGATAAAGGTGGGGGTGGGACAGAGGGTACTGGGCCAGTAAACAGGCCCTTCTGTAGTGATGTATTCTGCTTTTGTATGTTTCATCTCACCAATCACTCTGGAGTAGGGATGCGGAGCTGAAAGCCACCTTGCTAAGACAACAGTGTCTGCATATGATGGTTAGGAAGGCCTGCCCTAATGTCCTGGCCCTGATGTTGTAGGTGTTAGACTTTTCATTGGCTGTGATGTCCACCATGTATACCTTGTAGGAGAGCTTCATATTGTTCATCTGTGTGAATACACGTGCACATATCCTCTCATTGAGAATGGTGCTTTCTTCTACACAAATTTGAAACAAAAGAAGGGAGAGGAACAGTGGATGTTCTCCAGCAAGGGGGGTCATCAGGAAGGAACCAGCATGTCATACAGTGACCGTAGAGGGAGACTAGAGTTTAGAAGAATACCTAACAAGTTAAGGTGTAGGACATACCAGTCTTACAGATGGATGAGTAGGAGACCAATTTTTCATCACTTGAGTACAGCTGTATTACAATAAGAGATAGAGATGGCTTGGTTTTTACTCAACTAGTCTATTTTTAACTTTTTTTTTTTTTTTTGCTCCATACTCTGTTTACTTCTGAGACTCTAATGATATAAATATTTGATTTTTTTTTTTTTTTTGCCAAGGTGTAATTGAGTAACATTTATACTTAAAGTCAAAAAAACAAAATATAACTATGTAAAATCCTGTACATATTCATCTACTCAGTTCATTTTTTTAAAATATTACATTCACAGGTACTAATAGTAGGCACTATATGGTCAGCACTAAGGGTAACCTTATTAGCTGTATAGCTCACCCACTACACCACACACACTTTTGTCCCCTGTATTTGTACACCTAAATGAGACTGAAACTTTACCCAATCTAGAAGTAAATTCAGTGCAATAGAATTAGTATTTTCTGTCTCTGAAGAAAATGACTTCACTTTAAAAATCATTTTTGTTTTAAATTTTTTTATTAGGTAATGTCACATGATTCAGATTTTTTCCCTAGAAAAATAAATACCGAAATCCCTGTACCTTTCTCTCTCATTCACCCACTTACTGTCCTCATCTCCAAAAGGCATATTCAATGATGTTTTTTATTTTTCTAGAGTTTAAAATGGTTATTTTGACAGGTACAAGTAAATTTTTTTTCTCCCTTTTTTGTGCACATGTGGCATACTATACATACTATTTAGTAGATTGCTTTTCTTACCAGTAAAACTTAGAGATTTTTCCATTTTAATACATAGGGATTCCCTTTATTTTTTCCCTCACAGCTACACAGTGTTATGTTTTACAGCAACTTCCATAATTTATTTAATATTCCCGTATTGGTAAATGTTTGGGTCTTTCCAGTTTTTTGCAAACTATGTTGGAATAAATAGTGTTCAATTTTGCTTGCATGCAAGATGTATTTATAGGACAAATTCCAGAAAATTCAATTGCCGGGTAAAAATATTATGAAGATGTAATTTTGGTAATAATATCAAAATGATCTGCACAAGCATCATACTTTCAAGTTTCTATCAGTATAAGGTGAAAAATGCTCTTCCTTTATTTTAGATTTCTCTTGTGAGTTGAGGTTATGATGTTCAAACCCTTCACTCCCCAAGTTCTAATCTGCTTTCTTAGGGGCTGAGTTAGAACATGAGGAGAAGGTGAATCTGCATATTCATATTTATGGTTTTCTAAGCATGTGCATGCCCACTAAGAGGCTTTACTATACCTTGATTCAGTTATACATTCTGGGCTCTTACCCCAAATATGTGATCATTTATTAAAACTGGATAAAGTAGTTGAGATATAAATTTACTAAAGATGATCTGAAGTAGATAAATTCTTTCTGTTGTAATTATCAAACCTGAGCAAGAGAGCAGTGATTTGAAATGGATTTTGATGTAGAAGTTATTTTAGGAAGAGGAGAGAATGGCATGAGCCAGAGAGGGAGGCAAGACAGAAAGAAAGGATAATTTAAGAGAAGAGTAGATACGGAGTTGGAGCCAGATTACAGAAAATCATAAATAGTATGCTAATTTAGGAAGTTAAGCCAGTATTGTGTGCATAGTGGTATCAGTGGAAGTTGGAGAGAGCAATGCTCAAGAAGGTGAGACTGGCAGAGCAGTGCTGTATAGGATGGATTGCAGGGCAGAGACTGGAAACGGACACCATTTTTGATCTGCAAGAGAACTGGTACGGTGGAAATGGAAAAGAAACTCTAGATGAGAGAACACAAAGAAAGAATGAACTTGATGACTCTAGTTGTGTGAAGAGAGTACAAAGAAAAACTTGATGATACAGTGTCGGGAAGAAGAATGAGACAAAATATAGCTATAGAACATGGGTGGCAGTAGGAAAGGTAGGAAAGGCTGGTTTATTTTAGCATTAAGCTTGAGAAATTTAAATCTTGCTTGTTGAATTTTGAAGTTACACAGAGGTCTCCCAGTGACTGCCCAGTAGCCAGTTGGAACTGCAACTTAGGAAAAAGGTCTGAGAAGGAGAAGATGTATTTCAGTTCTCCTGGATTTTTCACCTCACGGGAATGCAAAGACCTAGAAATTATGATAATCCACTCCCTTTTCTGTCTTGACTACTCACCAGATTCCCCTCATTTTTAATTGTGATCTTCTCATCTCTGACCTTATTTGAGTGCCATGGATTTGTGCTACTGTCTGTCTTCCACCTTTTAGGCTACCTTCCCATCCCCACCATGTCCTAAAATAAAATCTCTCTTGTGTTACGTATTATTTAAAAGTTGGGTTTTTTCTGTTCACAAGATAAAATTTTAATGTTTTATGTTGCATGCAGAGTCCATTACCTTTCCCATCTTCTGCCATTAAGTCTGTAATTCATTCACATTGAATTTTACTATTTCTGAACAAAAAGTCTATCTGTGGAGACAAACAGGGTCAGTCAGATGGAGAACCTTAATGTTTCAACCCTTAATATTAAATATGTGGGAGGAGAGAAAATGTTTAACAGACTCAAGTTAAATAAACAGAAGAATAAATAAAAAGAAGGTCACTAAACTTACTGTTATTTTTGACAATCTAGAAAATAATTTCAGTAGAGTAGTGGAGATGGAAGCAATGACAAAAAATTTGACTTGGAATGGGACTAGGAAGGCATTCCAGGGATGTTGGCATTGTTTCAAGATGAAGATCCAATAGGAACAAAAGGAGAATTCAGTGATAACATTAGAAACCCAAGGGTTAGAGCAGGTTTTTTCAAACTTAGCACTATTTACTTTTAAGGTTAGATGATAATTCTTTGTTGTGGTGCCTGTCCTGTGCACTATAGGGTGTCTGCCAGCATGCCTGTCTTATCCACTAAATGCCAGAAGTCACGCCCCAGTTGTGACAGCCAAAATCACCACCACGCTTTGCCTGACATTCCCTGGATGGAGGGGTAAATCTGCACCTGGTTCAGGGTTAAGGAAGTGAGCATGTGATATCACGGGAACGCAGGGAGCAGAGACCTGATGAGGGAGGAGCTCAGGAGTATGGTCTAAATTTTCTGGGTAAAGGGGGAAGTCTTCTGTAGAGGACACAGGAAGCAAGTTGATTGTTTGAGACTATAGGGGCTGAAGGCACTCACTACACCAATGTCCATTTGAGATCAGAAAGTGTTCTACAGTCAGCCAGATCAAAAAGGCCTCAGAGTTCTTCTCTTTCTAGAAAAAAGAAGTCTGTAGTATTTTTTGCATATTGACAAGGTAATGTAGCCCCAGTGAGGATTTTCCCTGTAATTTTTGTATGCTTTTCTAAAAAAACAACTATAAATCTAGTTACAGTAATTCATAGATAAAAATAGGACAAAATCTATACTGATCTCAAGACATGACTTGTAGAGATGTCTTTGTATTTTCAAATGTCAAAGTGCTCTCCTGTAGTTCACATATTTGTCATAAAAAGCAATCATAAAATTTAGGAATAATTAAAAAATAATTCTTTTCCAATTCCTCAGTATTTTTTCCTCTCTCATGTTCAGTGTGACTGCATGTCAGGTCTTAACTAAACATACCCGTTTATGCTCTATAATTGTAAGTTGTGACCTGATTTCCCAGATATTACTAATAAGGGATATGGAATTGATAGAAAGTTCTAATTTTTACTTTAACTTTCAGGCTGAAGAACAGTTGAGAATTGTTGAAGAACAAAGAAAGATTCATGAGGAAAGGATGAAACTAGAACAAGAGCGACAGCGTCAACAAAAAGAAGAACAAAAAATTATCCTGGGCAAGGGGAAGTCCAGGCCAAAGCTGTCCTTCTCGTTAAAAACCCAGGATTGAGTTGCAGACTGAACTTTTTACAAAGAAAAATGGAAAAACTTTGTATGGTAGCTTCATGTTGAAGTGTTTTTTTTGTTTTGTTTTTTGTTTTTTTTTTAAATTTGGAAAATCTGGAAAAAGTTAGCTTGTTCTAATAGGGGCTATGCTCTGCAATTCTCCCCCCCCCCC